TTCTATATATTTTTAGTTGTCCAATTAATTTCTTTCTAATTTTAGTAGAGACGAGGTCTCGCTCTTGCTCAGGCTGGTTTCGAACTCTTGAGCTCAAACAATCCGCCCGCCTCGGCCTCCCAGAGAGCTAGGATTACAGGTGTGAGCCACCGCGCCCGGCCCGGGATCTTAAAATGCATAAAATGGAACCCACGTTTTCTTTTTTATAACAAACTCCATCTAAGAAAAAGTTTTTATTGGTTTTTCTTCAGTATTCTGAAATTTGTATATGAGAAAAATCTATAGGGTGAACCTGTTAAGAAATTTTAGTCCAAAAGCTGAGAACCAATAAGCAATCTGGATAATAATTCTGATCAGTCCTTGAAAACTGTGTATGTGAAAACAAGAGATGAAATTGGACATCTCATTTCTGACACAGTTCAAGGTTTTGCTTGTTAACTCATTTAACAATAATCCATTCAGTGCCTACCATGTACTAAGGCCTTTGCTAGAGAACTTGATAAAAATAGCAGCTAACATTTACTGAATGCTTAACTTGTGCCAGGTACTAAATGCCTTACAAATATCCCATTTAATAGTCAAAGTTACAGATTTATTATTTTTATTTCATAGATAAGGAAGCTGAAGTACAGAGAGATGAAGAAACTTGCCCATATTATTAGAGTACAGAGCTTTATTACACAACTCCAAGGGCATCATTCACATACAATGTGAGAGTGTCTCGTGGAGTACAACTCCAGCAGCCCTGATGATGAAGGCAGATAGGGTATTCAGCCATCTGACTTTAGAAGTTTAGCAATAAGTAAGACAGGTGCAGTCTCTTCACTTCAGAACTTATAGTACAGCACATACAGAAAGCAGATAATCAGATTCCCAGTTCTGAGGGATAAAAACATACCTATCAGGTACACTGTACACTACTCTGGTGACAGGCAGACTAAAAGCCCTGACTTCGGCATTATTCAATTCATCCATGTAACAAAAACACTTGTATGCCCCTAATATTTTGAAATTAAAAAAATAATTCCCAGTTCCGCCATGTATGCTAAAATACCTTGGCAAAAAAAAGAAATCAGTTAGCACACATAACTAAGTCAACTTGGTTGGGAACTAGCCATTTGGGAACCAAGAGAAGACTGTGACCATGAAGCCCTAAACAATATAACAGCACTGAGGAAGAACAACATACACTCCGCTTTAGAAAGAAAACATGAAATCGGAAATGAGCTTTTCCTTTAGGAAGGAAAACAGCTTTTCATCAATAAAATGTTTTTGCTGGATAGCTATTAGTTTAAGGATAAAGTCCCAAAGCAAGTAAATTTTGCTGGTGCAAAAATTTTCTGACACTTGTGGGAGAAAATATAAAAACATTCTAACTGATAAAATATTAATTTTTCTGTTAGGAAATATTAGAGAACCATTAAAGATACCACATTCAAGGTTTAGGAAACATCATTTAGATAATCACACAAGTAATAAAACAATGGCTAGTATGACAATAATGCAAAGACATTAATAATATAAATAAATAACAATAAAGCTTTCCTGTTTCAGACTGAATGTTTATTTTGTTTTTGAAGCTATTAAAAGCTCAGAACAAATTCCTAATGGTTGGGATAAATAATTCTGCTTGTTTTCTCATTGCTAAAGCAGAGCTTTGTGGTTTTTTTTGTTTTGTTTTGTTTTGTTTTGAGACAGAGTCTTGCTCTGTTACCCTGGCTAGAGTGCAGTGGCATCATCACAGCTCACTGAGACCTCAAACTCCTGAGCTCAAGCGATCCTCCTGCCTCAGCCTGGAGGCACCACCAGTGTTGCACCACCACCCCTGGCTAATTTTTTCTGTTTTTTCAGTAGAGACGGGGTCTCACTCTTACTCAGACTGGTCTCAAAGTCCTGAGCTCAAGTGATCCTCCTGTCTCGGCCTCCCAGAGTGCTAGGATTACAGTGTGAACCACCGCGCCCAGCCAAAAGCAGAGTTTTAAAAAATAAAATGATATTTTTTTTTCTTGAAAAAAATTTGAGGAGTGTTGTTTCATTTTTGTTTATTATCCTCTATACATATATAAAAGATATGAATGAGAATACTAGATGATGGGCATCCCAAAAGGCTTATAATTTTCTTTTCTTTTCTGATAGCAAAACTTTTCCATTCTCTCTAGGGCAGTCTATAAGCAACTTACTTGCATGCTCAATCTGGGAGAGAAAGTAATTATTGACAGGCTACTTTTTTCCCACTGAAAATCAAAACAGGTATTTTGATTTCAATTATAGATAATCGATATCCCTGCAATAACTTTTTTTAAATGTTAGATTCTTTTAAATTTTAAGTTTCTCCACAATTTGTTTCCCTGCACAATGCATCTAGGGTTAAACAGATCAGCTGTTCAGCTAGACCGCCTCTAGAGCTAATTAAAAGGTATCATGGTATATGTATTAATGGAAATATCACCATTCTTACTGTGAAAATTTTCATTGTTCCAGTTGGGCAGAATGGAGTAAGTTAATTAGAAAACATGATTTGCATTACATAAATGGTTACTGACAACATGTGTGATCAGAATCTAGTTCCACTCTAATTTTGTTAGAAGGTCTTAGCTACTTTCTTGGAATGGCTGACTATTCACTTGGCATTTTTTTGCTTGGCATTTTGATTGTTGTGAATTGTGCTATTCATTTTCTTGACAGTCTAAAGAACACTGATTTTGATCTGGTTCTGCTTGTTAATCTGAATTTGTGGATGATTTTAGGACTATTTAATAACTCTTATTTGCAATTACAAAACATATATAAAAATATATCTCTTTTTAAAATTTCTGTGGAAAATGTTTTATAATTTGATTCTTTTTAAATACAGACTTCTGACAATTTTGAGCAAAATTTAAATACAGATGAAAAATATCAAAATATAATCCCATTGCTTATTAATTTTCTAATCATAAAATTACTTTACCAAAACTACTATTCTAAATATTATATCTTCTTGTAAAGACTTATATGGACAATCAAAAATGCTGGTGAATTGAAACATACAGATGCAGGCAGCTTCTTAAAGACTCAAAACAGACCTGAAATTACCTTTTTATTAAATAAATATCAGAAAACCACAGTTTTTAAAACAACTAGATCTTGGCAATCCTGAATTTATCCCAAAGTATACATGCATGACAATCTTGATGATCTAGAATTTATTCCCAAAAATATAGCAAAGTAAAAAAATTCCAGAGAACCATATGCATCATTGCTTAGACAGCCACTAAAATTATATTACCTTTTGGAGAACATCTAAAGCTGTAAGTACAGCCTCCTGTAAACTTGTCAAAACTGCTTCAGTATAAGATGGAAGAATAAAAGGGGATGCATCTGAACTTATTGGGACCGAAATAGCACTGTGTAATATGACTCCCAGCTTTTGCAAGTCATCCATGTTGAAACCAGTTTTTATGTGTTGGTAGAGAGCTGGAAATATCTGAATTAAAGCTGTAAGAAAAGGTTGGCTGGGAATGAAAGTTAGTTTATCAAAAGTAATCGGAGGCTTCGTGCTTTCAGATCCAATTCTATACCAAGTATTCCATGCAGCCCACCAGAGATTTAAATCTTCAAGCTCATCAGTAACTACGGGTGGCTCAGAGCTACTATATCTTCCAAGTCTTTCTCCAATTGAGTCTGTTCTTACAAATGGCCTACTCAGGCCAGGACCTGATATGGAGCCTATAAGAACAGGCACAGGTACATTAACTACAGGTGGTGTCTCAGGCTTATCTGAGTCTCTGACAGGGGATACAATTTGTAAAATTTCCTGGAAGCTTTTCAGAGCAGCCAGAGATACTTCATTGTTTTTGCTGAGTGCTGCTGACTGTATATGGTCAAGAAGAACATCCCAAGCTCTTGAAAAATCTCCTGTATTAGGAAGACAAAAAAAAAAATTATCAAAGTGATCAAATTTCCTCTTAATATTACAGACTTCAAAGCATATTTGCTTTATTTTTCTGCTTAAATTCCCACACAACTAGAAAAAATATGATTGGGTACTAAAGTACTAGCAATATGAATGAAAATCATCACAACCCAGAAATCCAGTAAAAATTTTCAGATGTAGGAACAAAGGGCACCAAGAAGAGGATAATGGGTATATTAAATAATGTTTTGGTCTTAAAAACAAAATTCTAGGTATGTATGTATACATGTTTATACCATTTTCTAGTACGTCTCCTTAAGGAGAAAAGAATAAAAACCTATGAAGTGAAACAAAAGCTTTTCAATAACATCTTCAGTCTATCCATCTATTAATAACTTCATTAGTGATTATGTAAGATATTCTCAGTCTTCATCATTGGAAAAGCTATAAGTTATAACAGAATGATACATATTTTTATAGGTCTAAATATTTAAAATAAACTATATGTCATATTCCATAAATTTAAACTTTATATTTTGGTTTTCATATTTAAATAATTTTACAGTTGCAGAATTTTCTTAAACTTTTTTTTTTCTCATAAGTGAGTGACTTACCAGGAGAAAATGTACCATAAAGAATAAACCGTCTTTTTACAAAGATTTTGTTCCTCTCATGTGAAACTGAGTCTACTTACTGATCCACCATCAGCAAAGCTAAGCTGAATGGTAGCTGCTGGTTCCCACTGGTCAACTAAATCGCTTTACTCCTGTGACTGGCTAAATACATTTACAATGAAGCTCTCTATGGCTTGGTGTAATTTGTTTCCATGAGGCTTAAAAAAAACAAAACAAAAACAAAACTTTTTTTCTAGCACAATCAAACCCAATTGTTTTGTTAATAACATGGATTATTATCCACATAACTTGCATTAAAATAGTGTGAAAGTCAGAGAAATTGGTATTTTCCAAAGCAGTATAAGCAGGCTAGAAAGTATATAAATAATCAAAGTTTAAATACTTTTATTTTGCAAAGACTATAAATGACTAGATATTGTTTTTTTAAAAAGGGATAAACCCAAATGCCTGAGGAAGCATTCAGTTAATAGGAAAGCTGGAAGTCTAGTATAAAATAGGTACTACTCATCTATTATGAACAAAGTGTAACATCTGGCCAGTTACATGCATCTTCCCCTCTATATTCTTTTTATTAAAAATTGAAGTATAATTTATACAGAATTAAAAAACACAGATTTAAAAGTAAACTGTTCAAAGAGTTTTCACAACTTACATTTTAAAACTATCAGTTAAAACTCTTTTGCCTGTTGCCATCCCAGTTAAAAAGTCAGATGAAACATTACATTTGCCAACCAGAGTGGTGACCTAATCTCAGATTTAGAATATTCTGTGCCATTTAGGAAGAAAAAACCCTGCAACTCTTCTATTAACATATTTTATGTCTAGGAAGAAGTCCTCTTTCTAAAAGACTAGGTATAATTATATATTGCACATGATTATGTTAAAATATAAACCTTATTCAAAATAATAATAAATACTATTTCCTGGTCTTCAAGTTATAAAAAAAAATTATGAAAGACATATGAAATGTCTTATGTCTTCATTTTTAAAAATTTAAATATCTATAAGTTCTTAGCTTTTAAGATAAAGTATGTATCCTGGAGGTATTAAAATAATGCTTATTTTGTCAAAACTCAGCAAATGTACAATGAAAATTTGTACATTTCACTACATGTAAATTTTACACAAAAAGAAAAAACTAAAATTAAAAATAATATATATCAAGTCCTAAATTGTAAAATAGATCAAACACCATCAATTATTTGTTTTTGGGAAAAAGTGCACATGAAGGACAACATACAAAAATGCCTATGGAATGAGTAAATATGCTTATGCTTTAACATAAGGAGGTTAAAAAGAAGCCAGACATAAAATAATAAATGAAACAAATAAAATAATATATAGAGCACACTCACACCTATGTACAAAAATATCTCTGTTCACTTTTCTCTATCACCTGCCATTACTACCACCAGCATCTAAAGTATTATAATCAGCACCCAGGTCTCTCAATCTCAGTACCACTGACATTTTTGGTTGGATAATTCATTGCTGTGGGGGGCTGTCCTGTGTATTGTGAAATGTGTAGCATCATCCCTTGTCTCTACCTGCTAAATAGCAGTAACTCACCCCTCCCCGTTTTTGAAAACTAAAAATGTCTCCAGGATTGGTAAATGTCCCATATGGTATAAAATTAGCCCTATTTGAGAAACTGTTGATCTGACAGCTTCCTAATCAGTTTAACAATATCCCATCATCCTTCCTTGCTGCCATTCCATTCTACGCATACCAAAGTAATATTTTTAACTGCCTATCTGATCATGTCACATCACAGATTAAAATCTTCAGTGGTTTTTGTTCAATGCTCTTATGATGAAGTCCTAACTTTTTAACACATTCTATATGATCTGGCCTCTCCCTGCCTCTCAACATCATTGGGAATCACGCTTTGCCTTACTTTCTTCATTCCAGACCTTCAAACATGTTACAGTCCACACCATCCCTCTTCCCCTCGATCTTCTGTCTCCTTTACATGTTCTCTCTGCCTGTAAGATTCTCCACACCTCATTTTACCATTGCCTGATGAACTCCTACTTACCCTTCAGACTTCAGGAAAAATACTACTTTCTCCGACAAACGAATTTGGACTTCACGGGCCAGGTCAAATACCTATTATAAGCTCACAATGCACTATTCCTTTGTAGCATTTATCATTGTAGCAATTTTGCCTTTATGTGTGTAATTATGGTTCCTCCCTCACGTAGCTGATAGGAAGGATGATGTGTATTTTGCTTATCATTGTATCCCCTAGAGGCTAGCCCACAGTAGGTACACATTAAACATTTTCTCAGTGAAATGAATGAAAATGCACATGCTTGTGCACACACCGCACATAAACACAAAGACTGTAAGTTAAGAAGAATTATTCTTGGGTAGAAGCATCACATAAAGGTTAAAAGAATCTTCTGTATTTCCCAAATTTCCTTTAACATGAATTACTTGTAAAATAAGAAGAAAAATGTACATATACCTAAAGGTTGCAATAAATATCTTCTAGTGTTGAAGATTCTTGCTACTCCAGCCAATGTTAATACCCATGTCTCAGCCCATTGCTTCTCTGCTGTGTCCCTTGAATGATGAATGAGAATATTGCCACCTCCAGACTCAATCTTTTCTTTGTCTGCAGTGGTAGAGGACTCTCGAACTCGGTCCAGTAGATGAAAGAGTACCTAAATATTTATAAAAATGTCATATAAAATATACTAATAATAAAGCTTAAGAAATAGCATAGAAATCTAAAAATTGTTACAAAAATATACTTGACAGTCTTATCAATCCCCATATATTAGAGGAAATTAATCAGTAGAGGTAACCACACATTCTTAAGTTTATCTTTAAGGTCATGGAATATGAAAAATTAAAATAAATTAGACAGAATATAAACTAAGACTTGTTGAATTGAGGTATCAATGGAGCACCTATGGGGTAATGTATGAAAAAAGAACAAAAGCTAAGGAGACGGGTCCAGGCAAAAAATATAATTATGGGAGTTATCTGGATAACTGAAGCCCCAGGGTTCTATGAGGGGTGCTCGAAAAAAATCAACAAGCAAGAAGTGACTGGGACTTGGGGAATATTTTGATTCGGAGGAAGAAATAAAAGCAAAAAAATAAAATAAAAATTGAACAGAGAAGTAGAAGCATGCAATGAAACAGAAGCCAAGGGAAGGGAAAATTTCAAGGAGAAATGAACAATAGTGTTAAATGCTACCAAAAAATGAACAGGATGAGATTAAGCATAGGCCAAATGACTTGGCAATTAAAAGACCACCTGTAGACTGTGAATAATTTCCGTGATTCTCAAAGCATGGTCTCTGAACCAGAAGCATCAAGCATCACCCATGAACTTGATAGAAATGCACATTCTCAGGCCAAAGTAATCAGAAACTAGGATGGGGAGGGTGCTTTAACAAGTCTTCTAGGTGATTCTGTTACACTCTAAAGTTTTAAAGACTCTGAAGTAGAATAATCTGGAAATCAAATTATAAAGGATATGGGAATACAGGGGAGGTGAAGAAGAAAAAAATCACTGAGAATTAGGCAGCAAAATGATTATAAATGAGGTTTGAAAGAATAATAAGAATCAGAAAAATATTACATTTAAAACAAACATAAGGAAGACAAGTATGTCTGTAATTTGAGGAGGAGCTAGGGGATGAAGCTGAAATAGAAGACAGAAGGAAACAAGGCTTTTACTATAAATATATATAATTCATATAATTTATGTCTCAAAAAAATAAAAGTAAAAAAGAAAACAGTGCTTTTAATTAATTATTTATTTATTTTTTGAGACAGAGTCTTACTCTCTTGCCTGGGGCGAGTGCCGTGGCCTCAGCCTAGCTCACAGCAACCTCAAACTCCTAGGCTCAAGCAATCCTACTGTCTCAGCCTCCCAAGTAGCTGGGACTACAGGCATGCGCCACCATGCCCGGCTAATTTTTTCTACATATATTTTTAGCTGTCCAATTAATTTCTTTCCATTTTTGGGAAAAAACGGGGTCTCGCTCTTGCTCAGGCTGGTCTCGAACTCCTGAGCTCAGAACGATCCGCCCGCCTCGGCCTCCCAGAGTGCTAGGATTACAGGTGTGAGCCACCGCGCCCGGCCGCTTTTAATTATTTTATTAGGGAACATATATTATTAATTTTTTAAGAAGACATCTTTGGGATTTATTAAATTGAAAAGTTTACAAAAGTGAAAGGATTATATAGAGAATTTTATTAAAATGAAACAGGTGGAACAAAAAAGACTTTTAATAAAGGGAGGATGTTCACTAATAAGTGTTAATTTTATAATAAAGTTTTAAAAGAGGAAAAAAAGAAAAAAAGATGAAATTGTATAGTTTATACATGTACAATTTACCATTTGGAGGTTACTTTTGTTTGGTGAGTCTATAAATAAATTTCATTGTTGATATTCTTTTATTTATAAAAATTCTCTTTCGATTACATTTGAATTACATATAGACCTCAAAATTAAAAAAAAAAAAAAGCTTTCCACTCTATTGTAATGGACTGATTACCCTCCGTGGTTCAGCAACTCCTGGTTTTACCATTTAAGAAAACAGAAAAAAAAAGAGAGAAAGAAGGGCAAAGGCAGAAACTGAGATGGAGATAAGTGATGAAGACTGAAAGAGAGAGATAAGGCCTTTAATGTTGAATTTATTCTGTGTGAAGTCCAATTTAAAACATGGGATGTTTTCTGTTTTACCAAATACACAAATGCATGGAAATTCTCCTTTAAAAATCAATAGGAACAAGTTTAATTGAAAAGGTACATAACCATGTCTCAATTTAAAGCTGATAGCCTCAGCTATTTTACAGTACCTTCCAAATAACAGTATGCCAGGTTGAATGCTGTAATAAAGTTCCATGTGCACCAATTGTAGAAAACAGAGTTTGCCCTGCACTCTTCCTGACAGCAGGACGGGGATCCACACATAGTTCACCCAATTTTGCATAAAGACATAACCACAAGCAATCAAATGGTGGTGCGGGATGAAATGGCCGATTTAAAACCACTCCTTTCTCTTCTGCCTGCTTTTGCTGTGCTGCCTCTTCCTTATTTAATTCTTTTTCAATAGTTTCCCCTCTTTGGAAAAAATAATCTGAAATATTCCACTAAAAGGCAAAGTAGAAAAGTATCACTTTATTCACAGATTTTGTGTTAAACACATAAATATGCAACATGGTTATTTTACCTTTCAGAGTAAAACCCATAAAAGATTACTTCAAAAATCTTTGTTCTAATAGAACAAATTAAATGAAAACATTTCTCTTCTGTCAATGTCTCTATATCATTTCAGAATGTGGGGGAAAAATCTTGTGCTAACATTAATTTTTTTTATTAGCTTTTTATCATCAAAAATTTCAATAACATACAGAAAAAATAAGAATAGTATAATGAACTTCAATATATTATATTATACCCACCACCTAGATATAAATAACAATTGTTAACTATAAAAAACATAATCATAATTGTTACCATCCTAATTGTTAATAATTCCTTAATATCATTTAATCATAAATTTATAATTTCATATAAGAAAAGAGCAATTACTGTCTCCAAACATATCTTATGATTTCATTCTCAACCATGGTACAGCATGCAAATTAATGGTAATTATGCCAATGGTAAAAAATATAGAAGATCCAGTAGTGTGAACATAAATGTAAAATAAAGGAGGTGATATCTAGCAGTAATTTAACCAACACTGAATTAACCAACCACTCTTTGGGTGCAATTATATATACAACATGCTTACATTTTTTTCCATGATTATATTTTTAATACTAAAATACAGCTGTCCCTTGGTATCTGTGGGAAATTGGTTCCAGGACCCCCACCCCCCCAAATACCAAAATCCATGTATGCTCATGTTCCTTATATACAGTCGTGTAGTATGTGCATATAACCTACACATACCCTTCCATATACTTTAAATAATGTCTAGATTATTTATAATATCTAATATAATGTAAATGCTATGTAAATAGTTGTACTGTACTATTTAAGTAATATTAATAGGAAAAATAAGTCTATACATGTTCAGTACAAATACAATCATCTTTTTAAAAAATATTTGCCATCCATGGTTGGTTGAATCCATAGATGTAGAACTAATGGATACAAATGGCCAAATGTATTAACTTATCCAGCTTGCTAGAAAAACTTAAGATTGACTTTATAAAACTTCTGAGTTAAAAATATACATTTAAAAGATTCTAAATAATTGCCTTTAAATAAATATATATTGGGAATAGCTCTTTGCATGTTTATTCCACATAATATTAGTAATAACTTAACTAAGATTTTATTACAGGCATACCTTGTTTTATTGTACTTCACTTTTTTTTTTTTTTTTTTTAAAGACAGGGTCTTCCTCTATCTCCCAGACTAGAGTGCAGTGGTGTCATCATAGCTCACTGAAACCTCAAACTCCTGGGCTCGAACAATTCTCCTTCCACAGCCTCCCAAGTAGCTGGGACTATAGGCGCATGCTACAACATCTGGCTAATTTCTGTTTTTTGTAGAGATGGGGTCTCACTCTTGCTCAGACTGGTCTTGAACTCCTGGCCTCAAGCGATCCTCCCACCTTGGCCTCTCAAAGTGCTAGGATTATAGGCATGAGCCACTGCACCTGGTCTGTGCTTCACTTTATTGCACTTCATAGATAACTGCGTTTTTTACAAATTGAAAGTTTGTGCCAGCTCTGTGTTGAGCAAGTCTATTGTATCAGCGCCATTTTTCCAATGGCTTACTTCATGTCTCACATTTTGGTAATTCTTGCAACGTTTCAAACTTCATTATTATTTTATCTGTTACGGTGGTCTGTGATCAATGATCTTTGATGTTACCACTGTAACTGTTTTGGGGCAGACAAACCACACCCATATGAGATGATGAACTTAATCAGTAAATACATGTATTCTGACTATTCTATTAATAGGCCATTCCCCTATCTTTCTCCCTTTCCTCAGGCCTCCCTAATCTCTGAGACACAGCAATATTGAAATCAGGCCAATTAATAACCCTACGATGGCCTCTAGGTGTTCAAGTGAAAGGAAGAGTCACATGCCTCTGCCTTTAAAACAAAAGCCAGAAATGACTAAGCTTAGTAAAAAAAAGCACATCAAAAGCCGAGATAGGCCAAAAGCTAGGTTTCTTGTGCCAAACAGTTAGCTAAGTTGTGAATGCAAAGGCAAAGTTCTTGAGGGAAATTAAAAGCGCTACTCCAGTGAACACACAAATGGTAAGAAAGTGAAACAGCCTTATTGTTTACATTGAGAAAGTTTGAGTGGTCTGGATAGATCAAATTAGCCACAATATTCCCTGCAGCCAAAGCCTAATCAGAGCAAGGATCTAACCCTCTTCAATTCTGTGAAGGCTGAGAGAGGTGGGGAAGCTGCAGAAGAAAAGTTTGAAGCTAGCTGACGTTGGTTCATGAGTTTTAAGGAAAGAAGCTATCTCCACAACACACAAGTGGAAGGTGAAGCAGCAAGTGCTAATGTAGAAGCTGCGGCAAGTTATCCAGAAGATCTATTAACAACTAAGATCAATGATGAAGGCGGTTACACTAAACAACAGATTTTCAATGTAGACAAAACAGCCTTCTATTGGAAGAAGATACCATCTAGGACTTTCATAGCTAGAGAAGAGAAGTCAATATCTGGCTTCAAAGAACAGGCTGACTCTCTTGTTAGTGGCTAATGCACCTTGTGACTTTAAGTTGAAGCCCATACTCATTTGCCATTCTGAAAATTCTAGGGCCCTTAAGAATTACACTAAATCTACTCTGACTATGTTATATAAATGGAAAAACAAAGCCTAGATGACAGCACACCTGTTTATAGCATGCTTTGCTGACTATTTTAAGCCCACTATTGAGACTTATTGCTCAGAAAAACAGATTCCTTTCAAAGTATCACTGCTTATTGACATTACACCTAGTCATCCAAGAGTTCCGATGGAGATGTACAAGGACATTAATGTTGTTTTCATGCCTACTAACAAAACATCCATTCTGCAGCCCATGGATCAAGCAGTAATTTCAGCTTTCAAGTCTTCTTATTTAAGAAATACATTCTGTAAGGCTACAGCTGCCATAGATAGTGATTCCTCTGATGGATCTGGCAAAGTAAATTGAAAGGCTTCTGGAAAGGATTCACCATTTTAGGTGTCACACAGAACATTCACGATTCATGGAAGAAGGTCAAAATATCAACATTAACAGTTATCTGGAAGAAGTTGATTCCAATCCTCATGGATGACTTTCAGAGGTTTAAGACTTCAGTAGAGGAAGTAACTAAAGATGTGGTAGAAACAGCAAGAGAACTAGAATTAGAAGTAGAGCCTGAAGATGTGACTGAACTGCTGTAATCTCATAATAAAACATGAATGGATGAGGAGTTGCTTCTTATGAATGAGCAAAGAAAGTGGTTTCTTGAGATGGAATCATCTCCAGGTGAAGATGCTATGAACATTGTTGAAATAACAACAGAAGGTTTAGAATATTCCATAAACTTAGTTGATAAGGCAGCAACAGGGTTTCAGAGAACTGACTCCAATTTTGAAAGAAGTTATACTGTGGGTAAATGCTATCAAATAGCATTGCCTACTACACAGAAATCTTTTGTGAAAGGAAGAGTCAATCTATGCCGCAAATGTCATTGTTGTCTTATTTTAAGAAATTGCCACAGCCATGCCAACCTTCAGCAACCAACTACCCTGATCAGTCAGAAGCCATTAACATTGAGGCAAGGCCATCCACCAGCAAAACAATATGACTCACTGAATATTCAGATAAGCATTTTTGGGCAGTAAATTATTTTTCAGTTAAGGTACATACATACTTTTTAGACACAATACTATAGAACACTTAATAGACTACAGTATAGTGTAACTTTTCTATGTACTGGGAAACCAAAAAATTTGTGTGACTTATTGCAATATTGGCTTTATTGTGGTGGTCTGGAACCAAACCCACAATATCTCCAAGGTATGCCTGTATTTCTATATTCTAAATGAATAAAACGAGTCAATAAATGCATAAAATAAGTCAATAATTTAACAATTAACAAAAGTCAAGCAGAATTAAAATACATGTATACCTGTTTCCAGAACCTAGGCTCTTCCACTATCATATGACATTTCCTAATAGCTAATAGAGCAGTGTTGCCAGTCTACAGGACTACATGAATAGTAAAGACTTTTATTGAAGCTTTATTCACTAAATTGTAGTACATGAAAATGCTGCTACTAAACTAATATTTCAAATCAATTAACCTTCACGTTAAAGTCAATGGAACATTTCCCTTACGTGTACTATTTGTTTATTAAATCCTCTCATGACAAACTTTGTAAAAAGCCAAACTTCAGCTCAATATATGAAAATTATTCAAATATCCTGGTATTAATAAATGATTTCTTAAGTGATGTTATTTAATCCTAGATACAAGATATAAGTTTGGTACTCAAAAGTCATTTAAACAATTTCCATAGAGCCAAATGCATGTTTGCTCAACTTTCACTCCCAAGTGCATAACAGTGATTTTCAAATTACATTATCATAAGAAAGAAAGGCAATGATACTTACCAATAAACCTATTGAAGTTAAACTAATATTAAGTTCTTGGTTATGAAGACCAAAGCTACCTGCAACATCTACAACTATTTGCAGGCAAGTGCAAGGCATTGTTGGTAGAAAATCTGTCACAACCAACTGAAGACACTGGAATGCAGTTCTTATCAAGGATTCTCTGAAAACATGAAAGAAATGTATACTGATGCATTTAAAATAAATATATAAAAACTCACATCGTATCATAATTTGAATCAAGCAAAATGTTTAGAATTTGAAGAAAAGTACATTAAGAAAGGAATAGAAAATAAGTATTAATAGCATATTATTTCTATTTGTATTTTGCACAACTAACCAAAGAAAACTTAGCCAATGAATGAGAAAGGGAAATTGGCTACAGTTACTTTTTCTGCACTGTATCCCCATGCCTACCATATGTAAACACACAGAACTTATTTAATGAATGAAAACAAGCTCTTTCATTCTTTACTCAATAAAAGAAAACTACAGCTCTGTTATAGTATATATTTATACTATATATTATTTAAATCTCCAAAGGAATATAAAATTCTACATCTTGTCTGTGAGACAAGAGTAAATTTTGAATTCAAATGAAGAGAAGAATAAGTATTTGGTTTTGTAGAAAAGTTCTGGTTATAAAAAATAATAGTGAAAATGACAATTATAATAGCTAACACTTATTGAGCGCTTAGTATGCCATATACTTTCCAAGTATATTACATGTATTAATTCATCTTTACAACAATGCCCTATTTATACATTGCATTTTAGTAGGGAGAAGAAACTTAAGCTTGATCTAAGCTGATCTCTTTTCACTTTAATCACTCAGTATTTTATAGCATTTAAGGAAATTTATTACCACAAATATATAAGAACAATTTTCCATAATAGTCTCAAGCATCTTGATCATCTAAAACTCCTAAACTAGCCATCACAACAAGATAGTGTGAGTCTTACTGCAAAATCCAAACAAATTATCCAATGTCTGTTAAATCTCTCCACTGCAATATTCTACCCTAAATTAAACAAGTCCATACATTCCTTCCAAATATGCTCTTCTTTCTGTATTCCCTATTTAGCTAATGATACCACCATTCACTAAACTGTCTAAATCAGAAATCTGGGAGTCATTTCTGATTGCTATTTCTCCCTTTGCCTCTATAGTCAATTTGTCAAGTAGCTCAAACCCATCTCCTCTTATTTCTAGAGAGCACATGTAGGCTCTCTCATTTCTCAGTCTCCTCTCCACACTGCTGTCACCATGATATCTGTCAAATGCACATCTGATCACTTCATTCCTCTGCTTAAAATTCTAAAATGTCTCCCAAGTGTATTCAGGATAAATCCAAATAGCTTAAAAGCATATAGGTCCTTCATAATTTTGGCTCTGCCCCCTAACACTGAAGTCCTCTTCTTTTGTGGCATAACAAACTACAATTATGCATCACTTAACGATGGGGATATGTCCTGAGAAATGCATCATTGTGTGAACATCATAGAGTGTATTTACACAAACAAAGATGGTATAGCCTACTACACACCTAGCTATACAGTATAGCATATTGCTCCTGGCTGCAAACCTGTGCAGCATGTTACTGTACTGAATACTGTAGGCAATTGTAACACAACAATAAGCATTTATGTACCAAAATATATGTGAATACAGTACAGAAAAAATATTATAATGTATAGGACCACTGTCATATATGTGGTCTGTCAATGACTCAAACATCACTGCAGTACATGACTACAATTTCTTACAAGGATTATACTGCTAGGGCAAGAGGTACTTAGCTGTGTAATCAGAATAACTAGCGAGCATAGTATTTGGAATACACTAAGCACAGAAGAAATGTTTAATAAAGAAATTAATGAAAAAGTTGTTTTAAGCTATTTCTTAGATTTCCCAATATATATAGGAAGGTCAAGCTCTACACTATTTCACATCTTATCAAATACTATATTTATTTTAACAAAACCAAACCAAACCCAATCTCTGGATATGTCACAAAATTTATTAGATTGATTCATTTATCTCCTTATGAGTAAGAACCTTGCATTTTTGTATAAATGTCAAACAGCAATTTTCCATCCTTCCAAAACAAAGGTGATCCCTAAAAATTCCCTATAATCACTTGAGGGTAGAGTTAAGAAAAACTATTATAGGTCTGAGACTTAAGCAGGAAGGGCATACAGAAAAAATTACCACTACTATAAGATCTGAGGATAGAATGATTCCCTTTCTACCTCTATCATGTTTTAATGTTAATTTTTAAACACTTACCCTTGATCATTTCTAATTGCTCCCATGACACCAAGCACTAATGGCCATCCAGGCCCAAGACTGTCTCCCTGACTCTGTAGAATCTGCAGCACACATTCTAGTTGCTTGAGTCGAATATCTGGATGGTTAATAGTGGACATCTCCTTTAATGGGTTCAATAAAAGCAACTGCAGCCTCTGCAAAGGAGGCAAGAAACTAATTAGGAAGAGAAGCCCCAAAAGACAGGAATGCTTTGCTATTGCTTTTTCAGTTTAAATTCACTCACTTAGACTAACACAGTAAATAGAAATTTTTCTACTAAAATAAACACTGAATATGATTTCTCTAACAGTAACCATTAAAGGTTTATTTTGTCATCTACCTCTATTTTCAAATAACAGAAAAAATCAATCTTCAAGATGTTAGACTTTGTAGTAAATGGGTAATTACCTTAATTTAAAAGATATTAATTATAGAACCATATAGAAATGAATCTCACTAAAGGGAATACATATCTAGCTATATTTAGAGAGAAAAAACAATTCCCAATTTCTAAAATTACCTTTAATGTATATCACATGTATTTAAATTTAAAATTCTCAAGTGTGACATAATAATAGAAGCTATAACATTCCTAAAAATGAATAAGCATAGTAGATATTAACAAAGATGACACAAAATCACAAAATTTGTTGGAGAATAAAAGAAAAGCACTCTGTCTGGGTGTGGTGGCTCACACCTATAATCCTAGTGCTTTGGGAGGCCAAGGTGGGAGGATGGTTTGAGGCCAGAAGTTTGAGACCAGCCTGGGCAACATAGCAAGACCCTGTCTCTACAAAAAAATTAAAAAATTAGCCCGGCATGGTGGCATGCCCCTGTAGTCCTAGCTATTCAGGAGGCTGACACAGGAGGATTGGTTGAGCCCAGGAGTTTGTGGATGCAGTGAGCTATGATCGTGCCACTGCACTCTAGCCAAGGTGACAAAGCAAGAAGTATCACTTAAAAAAAAAAAAAAAAAGCATCCTGTTCTATCCCTTTCAGCATCTGAAAGCACTTGCTTCATTTTATACTTTCTTCTCTACAAGGATTCATTTACTTGGTTCACTGACCAAACAAACATTTATTAGGCTCTCGCTATGTGCCAGGTACTAAGCTGGACACTGAGTATATTAAAATAAATGGAAAAGGGTTTTCTTTTAAAAAAAAAACTCAAACTAGAGTAGGAAAAAATATGAAATCACTAAAATGTAAGCTCTATAAGATCTTTTCTGTCTTGTTCATCATTCTATTCCAGGAGCTATACTCAATAATTATATGTAACTAAACCTGCAGAATACAAATACAATACAATAAGATGATGAGGGTAATGAGAATAGTTATTAAATGCCTCATTTCTACTCAGTCTTAAAACAATAAAATTTGGGTAGACTTTTTGAAAAGCTGTATAAGATATACATGAATGACAAAGTTAGGACAAAGAATTCATGACAAAAGTAAACTCTGGAAGTATAAAATAACTTAAAATTATTTAAAAACAAATATCTATTTCCTTGTGCTTGCTTCTTTCACCACTTATTTTCTCCCCATGTAAGCGTAGTGAGAGGAAAAAAAAATCAGACATAGGTAAGGACCAAAAAGAGGCCTCAAAACAATGCCTTAGTACTGCATGAAGAAAGAAACCTGCAGACTGCGAGACCAATTCTAGGTAATTCAGCTTAGTTCAGTGCCATTTACAAGGTGTTTAAAATTTTTTAAGACGACAATCTGATATCTTCTGTAAGAGATCCAGGATCTACATATAAAATAGAATATTAAGTTAAAAAAATTCACTATTGGAATATCATCTACTTGATAAATTAAGAAAAAAGTTACATATGGGGAGGACAATTTTATATTAAGCATTCTTCTAAAATAATGAGATAGGGGCTTTTTTTTTTTTTTTTTTTACCTGGTTTTGTGAAAGTGGAGGATCATGGTTAAATGTTAATCCTGCTTTAATAAGTGAAGTTAAAGCTTCTGCTCCCCATTCTCTCATTCGAGAGTTTGGATGCTGGCATACCTGAAGTACATACATTTAACAAAAATAAAATATTTAAATTGTATAGTTAAGCTATGATTCACACATCAATTTGAGAAAAGAAACAGTCAAACATTACGTTTTCTGTTCTTTTCACATTTTAAAAATTATATCAAATGCTCAATAATGGCTGGAAGAAAAATTATATCTAAAATGTATGTAAGCTTACCTTCTGCATAAGGGCAAGAGGAAGCAATAGAAAGACAGAAGAAAAAAGATGAAACCAAAACAAGTCATAGAAAAGAAAGGATTTCATAAAAGTATGTCATCAGAGTAAAAAAGCAAGCTGATGAAGTTCTTCATTAGATTTACCCTCATAGTCAAATAATGTACTAAAATTAAAAAAAACTATTTGTTGCCATTTGATGACACTATCCAATAATGAAATCTGCTTATATCCTTTAATCATTCATAAAAATAATCCCAATAAAATGGAAAAAAAGCTCACATACATCAGCTTTTCTTACTAAGAATAATGCCTTTCTCAGCTTTCTAGAGTAACATAAAACGACCATAGTAACCCAAACCTAAACTGTACACAAACATATATACTGACAGAAGCAATCAGTTATTAAGCAACAAATGATTAAGCATCATCCCAACTTGAATACAGCAGAATGTAAATCCCAATAAAATTCCACAGCACTGTCTATAATTAGTGACACCAAATAGGTTTTGCCCTTTGTAGAAAGCTATTTCATAATTATAGCAAAGGCTGTAAATGAATAATATTTACTATTAACTTTCAGCCCCACTTTCCCTGAAGAACTACCTAAAACTGAGGTGGACAAAGAGACTATATAGTAAAAGAAAGGGGTCCCAAGCTAACAGGTCATTTCACTGATATTTCTCACTTTAAAATTTCACCCATTTTCAGCCACTGAAAGCAATCTACACCTTCACCAAACCAATTAATATAAAACGTTAATCCTTGATAAAATATACAGACTTACGTAGAGGGTCAGGAAAGGGAAAAACAGTTAATGCTAATTTTTTAAAATGGTTTCCAGAATCATTAGTTCAATGTGCATGTTTTTATTAAAAAATCAAATATAATTTTAAGAAAGAGAGTTTACCTCAAGTAGATGGCCAGTTAGAGGTCTCCATAAAATTTCTATTCGGTGCATATTAACTAGACCAGTTTCTAACAATTTGGCAACAGCAAAAAGAGATGGTTCCTAGGGAGAAAACATATTGCATTTTGATGTTATAAAGAGAATATTGAGTACTTTCACTGAAAATAAAACAATTATTCTAAAAAGCATGAGTGAAAATAAAATGTGATTAGTATAAAGTTAGCCATCAATATGATAAAAGCTCAGTTATCATGAAACAAGTCTTCCTGCCACCCTTAAGTATCCAGAATAGCTCCTAATTGGAAAACTTGGTTAGGAAGAGAGTGCTTTAACAGGGAAAGAGTGCAAATCCAAAAATTACACTAGACACACAGAATGGCTAGTTTTCCAACCAGAAGAAAAGAAGTATTCTTATCAGCAAAGTTCTGAAATGTCCTGGCTTTATGTGAGAATGTCAGTTAGATATTAAAAAAACAGAAAGGATCAATTCTACACAAAGTCATGAAAATTAAACAACCTGCTGCTGAATGATTATTGGGTCATTAATGAAATTAAATGGAAATCAAAAGATTCCTCAAACTGAATGACAAAGGGGACACAAGCTATCAAAATCTATGGGATTCAGCAAAAGCAGTCTTAAGGGGAAAATTCATAGCCTTAACTGCCTATATCAAAAAGACAAAGATCACAAATTAACAATCTAATGACACATCTCGAGGAACTAGAAAAGGAAGAGCAAATCAAACCCAAAGCCAGCAGAAAAAAAGAAATAACAAAACTCAGAGCAGAACTAAATGAAATGGAAAACAAAAAAACAATATGAAGGATTAATGAAACAAAATACTGGTTCTTTGAAAAGATAAACAAAATTAACAGACTTCTTGCTCGATTAATCAGGAATAGAAGAGAAAGGACCCAAATAAGCTCAATCGGAAACGAAAAAGAAGATATTACACCTGATACCATAGAAATGCAAAACATCATGTATGAATACTATAAAAATCTCTATGTACATAAACTCAAAAACACAGAGAAATGGACAAATTCCTGCAAACAAACAAACTCCCAAGACTCAATCACGAAGAAACAGAAATCCTGAACAGGGCAATAACAAGCAGCAAGATTGAAGTAGCAACAAAGAATCTTCCAACAAAAAAAAAGCCCTGGACCAGATGGATTCACAGCTGAATTTTATCAGACCTACAAACAAGAGCTAGTTACTGCAGAAATTATTCCATAACATTGAGGAGGGAATCCTATCCAACTCATTCTATGAAGCCAGTATCACACTGATACCAAAGCCAGGAAAGGACACAACAACAACAAAAAACTACAGACCAATATCCATTATGAATATAGATGTAAAAATCCTCAATAAAATACTAGCAAACCAAATTCAACAGCACATCAAAAATTAATCCACCATGACCAAGTGGGCTTCATCTCAGGGATGCAAGGATGGTTCAACATATATAAATCAATAAATGTGATTCACCACATACAGAAGCAAAAACAAAGGCCATATGATCATCTCAACAGATGCAGAAAAAGCATTTGAAAAAATTCAGCACCCTTTTGTGATAAAAACGTTCAGCAAACCAGGCATGGAAGGAATATATTTCAAAATTATTAAAGCCATATATGACAAACCCACAGCCAACATCATACTGAATAGTAAAAAGTTGAAAGTGTTCCCCCTATGAACTGGAACAAGACAAGGATGCCCACTGTCACTATTTTTATTCAACATAGAGCTGCAAGTCCTAGCCAGAGCAATCAGGCAAGTAAAGGAAATAAAGGGTATCCAAATCAGGAAAGAGGTGGTCAAATTATTGCTTTTTGCTGATAATGTGATCTTATATCTAGAAAACCCCAAAGATTCCACTCCACGAAGAGACTCATGGAATTGATAAATAAAGTCAGTAAAGTCTCAGGTTACAAAATCAACGTACACAAATCAGAAGCATTTCTATATGCCAATAAACAGTAAAGCCAAGAGGCAATTCAAGGACTCAATACCACTCACAATAGCTACAAAGAAAATAAAATGCCCAGGAATATACTTAACAAAGGAGGTGAAATAGCTCTACAAGGAGAACTACGAAACACTGAGAAAAGAAATCTCAGAGGACATAAACAAATGGAAAAACATATCATGTTCATGGATTGGTAGAATCAACATTGTTAAAATGCCCATATTACCCAAAGTGATTTATAGATTCTTTGCAATCCACATCAAAATACCAAAGTCACATCGGCCGGGCGCAGTGGCTCATGACTGTAATCCAAAGCACTCTGGGAGGCCGAGGCGGGAGGATTGCTTGAGCTCAGGAGTTCGAGACCAGCCTGAGCAAGAGCGAGACCCTGTCTCTATTATAAATAGAAAAGAAATTAGCCAAACAACTGAAAATAGAAAAAATTAGCCAGGCACAGTGGCATGTGCCTGTAGTCCCGCTACTCGGGAGGCTGAGGCAGGAGGATTGCTTGAGCCCAGGAGTTTGGGGTTGCTGTGAGCTAGGATGACGCCACGACACTCTAGCTAGGGCAACAGAGTGAGACTCTGTCTCAAAAAAAAAAAAATACTAAAGTTATAGTTCACAGATCTAGAAAAAATAATTCTGTACTTTGTTTGGAACCAGAAAAGAACCTGAATAACCAAAGCACTCTTAAGCAAAAAGAACAAATCTGGAGGTATCACATCACCAGACTTTACTATACTACAAGCCTCTAATAACCAGAATAGCATGGTATTGGGGCATAAAAATAGAGACATAGACCAATGGAACAGAACAGAAAACCCAGATATAAAACCATCCTCACACAGTCTACCGATCTTTGACAAAGCAAACAAACAATAATATACACTGGGGAAAAGAAGTCCTATTCAATAAATGGTGCTGGGAAATTTGGATAGCCCCTCGCAGAAGATTAAAACACGATCCATATCTATTACTACTCATAACAATTAATTCAAGATATATAAAGGACTTAAATATAAGGAATGAAATCATAAGAATTCTAGAAGAAAATGTAGGAAAAATTCTTCTAGATATTGGCTTAAGCAGAGAATTTCTGAAAAAGACCCCAATGCCAATCACAGCAACAACAAAAATAAATAAATGGAACTTGATTAAATTAAAAAGCTACATAGCAAGAGAAATAATAAACAGAGCAAACAGACAACCTATAGAATGGGAGAAAATATTCACAAGCCATACATCCAATAAAGGGCTAATAACCACAATCTACAAAGAACTCAAGCAAATCAGCAAGAAAAAAACAAACAACCCCATTAAAAAGTGGGCAAAAGACATAAACAGAAGGTTTTCAAAAGATGATAGACAAATGGCCAGTAAACATATGAAAAAATGCTCAACATCACTAATTATCAGAGAACTGCAAATCAAAACCACAATGAGATATCACCTTACCCCAGTTAGAATGGCTTTTATTAAGAAGCCCAAAAACAATAGATGCCAGTGTGGATGCAAAAAGAAAGGAACACTTATACACTGTTGGTGGGACTGCAAATTAGTATGACCTCTGTGGAAAACAGTACGGAGATTTCTCAAAGAACTTTATAAAAGTAGACCTACCATTCGATCCAGCGATGCCCACTACTGGGTATCCATCCAAAGGAAAAAAAGTCATTTTATCAAGAAGACAACTGCACTCGAATATTTATTGCAGCATAGTTCATAATTGCAAAGATATGGAATCAATCCAAGTGCCCATCAATTCATGAGTGGATTAATGAAATGTGGTATATGTATATCATGGAATATTACTCAGTCTTGAAGAAGGATGACTTAATGCCTTTTGCAACAATTTGGATGGAACCGGAGTCCATTATCCCAAGCGAAAATACAAACACTGTGTGTACTCGCTCTTAAATTGGAACTAACCGATGAGCATACATGTGCAGAGGGAAGTAAAACTCAGTATAAAGCAGGGGGAAGGGGGGAGAAGGGGATGGGTGAAAACCCACCTATCAGGTATAATGAACATTACCTGGGTGATAGGCACACTTATAACCCTGACTCAATCATTACAAAAGGAATCCATGTAACCAAAAACATTTGTACCCTGTAATATTTTGAAATTAAAAAACAAAACAAAATGGAAAGGAGACAACAGAGACCTGGGAAAAGAAATATGAAGTCAGGAGCATGGCAAGAGCAGGGCTACCAGTTTCAGACACTAACAGAAAAGGTGAAGAGAGAGAAAACAAAATAGTTCTCTAAGGTCGCTGGCATGTGGATCACCAGAAAGGGAATCAACATACATTATATATACCTACATTAGAGTACTTGGTCCATCTATCATAAGAATGGTTTCAGAAAAGATCAAAGGGCAACTATCTCTAATCCAGTATCAATGAAGGTAGTAAAACATATTTAAATGGAAATTTAGCTGAAGAAAGCCGTAAGTATTTTTTTATGGGTAGCTATGGTATTTCAAACAGAATTGCATTAAAAAACAAACAAGGTCGCCTATAATCCTAGTACTTTGGGAGGCCAAGGCGAGAGGATTGCTTGAGGCTAAGAGTTTGAGACCAGCTTGAGCACCAGCAAGACCCCACCTTTACAAAACATGAAAAATAAAAAAATTAGCTGGTAGCATGCATGCTTATAGTCTCTGCTACTTGGGAGGCTGAGGCAAGAGGATTGCTTGAGCCTAGGAGTTTGAGCACTGCGCTCTAGCCCGGGTCACAGAAAAAAAAAGAAAATTGTGAGAATAATTTGATAATTTTTAAAGGAAAAGATTTTTTATGGTTCTATATTCTTAGCATTTTTACAGTGCTGATAAAAATCTAATATTGAAATGTTTGCTAATATCTTCCTTTCCTAGTAGAAGCCAGTGAACCAAGTACATTGGGGTTTTAAGACAAATATGGCCCGGCTGACCGTTCCTGCATGTGCTAATGTTGTAGGCACCCTAAAAATTTTGGAAGTAAAAAAATCCATGATTCTAGAAGCAATATAGCACAGTGGTTAACACTGATGTCTAAAAATTTAACTGGGATCTCATCTGCACCCTACCATTTAATAGCTAGGTAATCTTGGGTAAGTTACTACCTCTATTGAATGCTTTTATTTTTTAAATCTATGAAAGGGAGATAATGATGATATAGAAACTACTTCATGTTAGAAAGTACGCAGCACATAATAAGTCCCCCCAAAATGTTGCCTACTACTACTTTTTCCTCTGCTTCTTCCTTATTATTTTACCAGGGTAAAGACAGAAATCATGTAGCATTTAAAAGAATATAGAGATGGTCCAGGTCTCAGACCTGAAGACTGTTATTCAGGAAGCCTAGAATGTGGCCCTGGTATTTACCTTAAAAAATAAAACTCCATAGCTGACTTTGATGTACACCAAAAGTTAGCAAAGTGCTTAAGAACAGAATTTTGGAATGAGACATATGTGGGTTCAAACCCAAGCTCTACCAATTACTAAGCAGGGAGCCTCAGGAAGGCAGGTTACTTAAGCCATTTTCATATTTTCATCTGTAAAGAGGGAACACTACTATTGAACCTCAGTTACTTTAAATGATAAAATAATGTAAGCTAGTGCTTGGCATACATTTAATGAATAATAACTTTTTTAATATTTTTGTTGTTATACTGAGGTTGGTAAGACGCCTGCACAAGTATCATCAGCATCACCCTCTTCTAAGAAACAGTTGGCAAGCTTTTCCGTAAGTTACTTCCTCAATACATTAGCACAAATTCCTGAAATAAGGATCAAAAACAAGGTACTGGTGACTTTAAAGACAAACCTTAAGAACATTAATATATACATCTTTAATCCCTAGAATATTTAACTCAGAGCAGCTGACATTGATAAATTTATTTTTTTATAATGTAGAAAATTTCTACTTATTTTAATATCTGAGTATTTATAATAATTTTTATAAAGGCACAACTGAATAATAAACCTTTTATAGCTTCAATCTAAAATCTTTATAAAGTTTATATTGAATACTTTTATAAAGTTTATACTTGAATATTTTTATAAACTTTTATTCCCATTCCATATTTACCACTTCACTTTATAAAATTAAATCCTAAAATGGAGACATGTGAATTCATTCTCAAAAAAATTATCTCCATTTCATTCAGTGTATCCATTTTCTCAACATTTGTTCCCTCTAAGCCTTCCTTAAATATCACACTTCCTCCTACCACTCTCATGAAATTATATTCTTCAAGGTTAACAATAAACTATTAATCACCAAATCTATTTTTTCTCATTGATTATGATTTCTTGTAACATATTTCTCTCTTGATTTCTATGAACCTGCCCTTTCCTGCCTATCAAATTCCTACCATTCCTTCAATATCCAGCTCCAATCATACTATTTCATCTTGATTAATCTTAATTCATTTTAATAGAAATATGTACTAAAAACAAGGAACCAAAAATTCAGATAATAAGTCTCATGTCACTTAATACCTACACTATTTATTTAGACTCTCATGCCAACTTAACTGTCACTTAACCATCAGACAAGTAGTTTATATGCTCTTTGAAAGTAGAAACCTCATATTTCCTTTATATTTCCTAGCAGAGTGTCATGTACATAGTAAGCACACTCTGCTTGTTGAATGAGTATAATAATAAATTCTCAAGACCTTACCATATAAGCTTGCTTAGATTTCATTAAAATACACTATTAAAAATATAGTCTTGTGTTAAGAATTATCTCAAAGATGTAGGATTATTCAACCTTACCATATAAGCTTGCTTAGATTTCATTAAGATACACTATTAAAAATATAATCTTAAGAATTATCTCAAAGATGTAGGATTATTCAAGATATCAACAAATTGAAAAAAAAAGAAATTGATTGCTTCACTATATTTTATATCATCCTTTCCTTGATTACAGCAAACTATAATATATATTTTCAAACACCTGCATGTTTATTTAATTATCTAACTATGTACTATAATAGATAAAACTATGCCCTAATAAGACCTTCTTCACCAATCTTTAAATGAGTCACATAAGCCAAGATGACAAGCCACAATACACAGAATTATAATTAAGGACTAGGCAGAAACACAATTTTGGACCCTACCATAAGATGTTAAACAATTTACAACTTTTTAATCATATTCTGGGTTATTGTCACATATTTATAAATGGTCAAATAATATTTATTAATTTTAAAATGTAGAAGCATTTTAATTATTTCTAAGATATAAATAAACCCAAATTTTCCTGTGCTTGCCAAATATAATAGAAAATGATATTTTTAGTAGTATAGAATTTTTTAAAATACATTTTTTATTTTCCTTTTTGTTCTTAGAGACAGGATCTTGCTATGTTGCCCAGTCTGGTCTTGAACTCCTGGACCCAAGTGATATTCCCACCTCAATCTCCAACGTAGCTGGGACTACAGGTGCATGCCACTATGCCTGGCCAAGAAATGTTCTTGAATGTCAATATTCAAAAGTACTATTCTACTCATTTAACCAATTAACAAAGAAAAATTTTAATTTTTAAGGTAAGGAGAATCATTACCTTCAGAAAGAAATGATTGGCTCCTTATTTTCCATCCCAATGAAGGCAAGAGAAACTGAGACATATATTCCTTAATTTAAATCTTGTATTACCCCAATCATAAATTGTAATTACAAGTATTATTGTGACATTTTACAGAACCTATTTATAAAAACTGTATTATATTATTTTATAAAACTATTTTTTAAATGTACAGTATATAAGAGAAATGGGCACAATTTAAAATCATATTGCATATTTAGGCATATCACAAGCTAAATTATGTCCTCTTTATTCCCCCTTCAGCAAATTACAACTATAAATGGTAAAGACCCAATAAAGCACGGTTAGCACACAAGCTGAGTATTAGTACTACTAGTAAAAAAACTAAGATCACAATGGATGTACACCTTATGTAACTAATGTACCAAATTTAAACAGAAAGGTAGAATATCACACCTTATTATTTCCATAGGCCATATCCATTGCTTCTAGAGATAAGGAGCAAAGTGCATTTATTAAATGATGCAATGATACGTCATCAAGATACCTAAAATGAAAATGAAGAAATATGATATTTTGATCTTAAATATATAGCTAATAACAATATTTTTATCAATTTAAAAAACTGACTCTTACTGTGAGCTTTCAAACAATCTTGAAAGTATATTGGAAATCACTGGTAAATCTGTCATCACTGCTGTTGTTAGAACCTAAGAGAAGAACAAAATTAAATGTAACATATGACATTTTAGGAAGTACTAATTGGGTAAGGAGGACTAGAACTTACTGTACTGGGTCCTTCTACAGCTCGCCCAGGTTTCAAGGCACCACCACTACTAGGTTTTAATCCCAGAATCCATACAAGATGCTATAAAATTCAAAAAAAATCAAAACAAAAAACTTTATAAAACTATAAAAATTCTAATAACTAAAATTAAAATCAGTAATAATTTCTAGTAACTAAAATTGAAATCAGTAGGTTTGTAATAACTAAAATTAAAACCAGTAATTAATGTTCATATAAAATTTTACCAAACACAGGCAGTAGAACTTAGGCCATTATGAGAAGCACTCCATCATTTCCTGTGAGTCATGTCTTTTTTTCCTTTCCAACTTTCCTTTTTTCATACTTACTGTCTATTCCTTAGGCCTGCCCAAAGCACTAATAGGCACTGCTTAGGTTAACTGATAGCAATCACATATAAAAGCAACACTGACTTCTGACCCAGACACTGTAACATACCTGAAGAGTTGCCAAGACAAGTTGCCATGATGTTCCAAGAACCGCCCCATGGCAGTGTGCCAAGTTAAGTAAAGTCCTCATACACTGGATATTTTTGGAAGTTAGCTGTAGTTAAAGAAAAAAAAAAAAAAGGATGTATTTTCAAGAACTATTATGCATTCTTGAAAATTAAAAGCTTGTAAACCAGCATTAATGTATTAAAGGATTTTTTAAAATAAAAAACAAAAATTAAAGAAAATAGGTTTGGATGGTTTTGTAAGGAACAAAGTCATTTAATTAAAAGTTGTGTTATCATATTGGTTACAATATGTCAAATGCATAAACTAGTTTCTTCTAAATATACCACCCACGTAATAGAAAGTAAATAAGTGTGTTTTGGCAAACACAGAGAAAGGGTACAACAGGTTCCTTGATAGTTAACTGGTAACCATGAAAAAGCAAGTACATTACCATTACTGTCCCTTGAGGCTGGACTGCTAGAGGTTGACCCACTGCCACAACTTGCTGGTGAGACTCACTTGATGGGCTTATCATCATAACACTTTGGCCCTGAATGGAATATGCTAGAAGACAAAGGAAAGCCTAAATAATTAAATAGTACTGTTTATATGGCATTCAAAGTAATGTTACATTTTAAAATAACTTGCTTAAACCAAGTTCAGCAGTAACACTTAATTAAATACCGGTACTACCTATTACCCATATGCAGTTTTAAAACTCATGAGTTGCAAAAATCAAG